TACTCCTTAATGATTCAATTCAACTATTGTATCCAGAAATAAGGAGGTTCCAATAGTGTTAGACCACAATTTACCAGAATTTATGGTTAAACCAGATGGTAGTATCTCAACAGATTACCCTTTAACGTGGTTCTACAGAGAAGATTCAAGTTTAGATTCGGAGGTCTCTTGGGAGAATCGAGAAGTAGATAGTTTTAAGCTCATACTTTGTTTAAAAAGTTTGTTAAGGTATGTACAAATACATGTAACAAATACATCTCAAAGATATTACTTTCATGAAGATACAATATGGAACAAAAATTGCAATATGAAAAAGATGACATGAACACATTTAGTAAGGTTTTGGGTCTTTGTTACTTGAAAACCACTGCTTTTTTGTTTTTATTAGAAGCTCGATTTGAAGAACTTGTTTGCAAAGAAAGTCTTGAAATTGTTCCAAAATACTTTTTGTATTCAAAACGATTTCAAATGGGATCCAAAATACAAATATTCGACCTTTTCAACCATGTGTTGAGTTTTTATGTCGACTATGTACCTAAGGATGAACCTGTCACCACTTTGACACCATACAGACCAACAATTTCGGTCCCTCTAACAAATTGGAAAGCCGTTAAGGTTCTTGCTGCAGAGGAAGCAACTTCCAAACCAAAATATTCTGGGCGTTTGAGACAGAACAAAAAAGTAGTTGCCGCGGTTGAAGAAGAGCACGCAGACCGATTTACATACATTGTCAAGTCACAGACATTTATTAAGAACGTTTCGAAAGAAGAGTTGCATGTCATTACTAAGCTTCTGTCCTTGGACACATACACCATATACCTTCCCAAGATTTTGAAAATTTACCGAAATGGCGACGTTGAATTTGAATTGCTGACTGCGATTCATATCCACAATGAGGAAGATCTTCTAGCTCTAACGATTGATGTTTGTAAGGCACTCAAGTTTTTACACAAAATGAACATCGTTCATCGTGACGTCAAGCCCTCAAACATTATGCTAAGACGATTCGATCATCCCAAAAACTATTATTGGTTTGTGCTTATTGATTTTGGTTTAAGCTTTCATTTTGAAAGAACAGACCATGGACTTGTCGACTCTTATTCACACTCTCTTGCCACCGAAAATGCTGGAACACACCTATTTAAGGCTCCAGAAGTGATTGCAATGGAGGCATATGATGAAAGGATTGATATTTTCTCATTAGGATCCACTATTCTCTCCCTAACGGATCAGAAACGGTTTTTAACAACAAGAGCGAAGCAAGGAAATCTTCAAGACATGGTAGGGCAGTTAAATTGGAAATATCCAACGTTTAAACATGTGGTATTCGACATGCTTTCAGAAAAATCCGAAGACAGACCGTCTGCATCAACCATTGTGGACCTGTTGACCCCAGTCGCGCTCGATTGTGAAAAATACTGTTGAATAGTATACATTTCAAGAAGCCAAAGAGATCTAAAGTTCAGGCCTTGACAGGAAGAAGCAAATCGTTTCCTAAATTGATCAATTTCACATTATTGAAATTGTGCCATAATGCAATATTTACTTTGTGAAAAGGTCATTCATGTCACGCTTACACACCCATGGGCTTTAATCGAGGCAATGACTTGCCACAATCCAAAGGATAACCCTCTGTATAAAACAA